GACCTCGAAGTTAGCTGCCCAACTCATAACCACTATGCCACCAGAGCTCCTTTATTTGGGAATGTTGTTGTTGTTGTTGTTGTTGTTATGTGCCGTGGAGTTGGTTCCGACTCATAGCGACCCTATGCAGGGTTTCCGAGGCTGTAAATCTTTACAGGAGCAGAAAGCCTCATCTTTCTCCCACAGAACAGCTGGTAGTTTCGTACTGCTGACCTTGCAGTTCGCAGCCGGATTCATAACCACTACACTACCAGAGCTCCTTTTTGGGAATAGGTCTTTGCAAATAAAATTAATTAACAGCAAGTCATACTGAATTAGGGTGGGATCTATAGGAAGACTCATTAACAATCTGCAACATGCACATGACACAACTTTGCTTGCTGAAAGTGAAGAGAAGTCTTCAGTATGCGTTGCATCTCAATGGAAAGAAAACAAAAATCCTCACCATTGGGCCAATAAACAACATCCATACAAATGGCGAAAAGACTGAAGTTGTCAAAAACTTCATTTTGCTTAAGTCAACCATCAATACTCATTGATGCAGCAGTCAAGAATCAATCGATGTATTACATCAGGCAAATCTGCTGCATAAGACCTCTCTACAGTGTTGAAGAGCAAAGATGTCAGTTTGAGGACTAAGGTGCGCCTGACCCAAGCCAAGGTATTTTTGATAACCTCATATGCGTGTCAAAGTTGAACAGCGAATAAGGAAGACCATAGAAGAATTGATGCATTTGAGTTACGGTGTTGGAGGAGAATATTAAAAGTACAATGGACTGCCAAAAGAACAAACAGATCTGTGTTCGAAGAAGTACAGCCAGAATACTCCTTGGAAGCCAGGATGGCTAGCCTTTGACTCTCATACTTCAGACATATTGTCAGGAGGGACCAGTCACTGGAGAAGGATATCATGTTTGATAAAGTGGAGAGTTGGAGAAAAAGAGGAGGACCCCCAGCTAGATGGATTGGCATAGTGGCAACATCAATGGGTTCAAACGTAGCAACAATTGTGAGGCTGGACCAGGACCAGGCAGTGTTTCGTTCTGTTGTGCACAGAGTTGCTATGATTTGGGACCTAACTACTATCATTACTACTACTACTATTCTAATATGATTGATGTCCTTATAAAAGAATGAGAAGAGACACAAACAGATCCACAGAGAGAGTGTCATGCGAAGATGAAGACAAAAACTAGAATGACGTATCTACAAGCCAAGGAATGCCAAGGATTGCCGATCATCACCAGAAGTGAGAAGAGTGACATGAAATAGATGCTGTCTCAAAATCCTCAGAAGGAACCACCATGGTCAACACCCTGATTTCAACCTCCAAGAACTGTAAGAGAATACATTTTTGTTTAAAGACACCCAATCTGTGATACTTTGTTATGGCAACCCCGGAAAACTAATACAAGGAAGAAGGTTGAAGGCAAACATAGGGATGGGGGTGGGGGGTGGGGAGGCGTGGAGTGGTTGAGTCCATAAAGTAATATTTCTGAGCATTCTGAGGAAAAGTCCAGGGTGTGTATTGCTAAACCTTCCGATTTCACAATGGGAGATCTCTGGAGGCCATGCCTCATCATGAATCCAGAAAGAAACAAATGCCCCTTACGTCCATGGGCTCGCCTCTTAAAACTTGACATCCACACTGAGGTGCTTCAAATGCAAAAATGAGCTCATTACACTTGGCCAGATGATACTAAAGTTTCCTGTAAGACACCATGTTTTTCTTATATAGCCAGAAACTGATGAATAATATATAATCAAATTAACTCAAGAAGCATCAGAAAATAACACTGCCTGTGTGAATGACAAAACCTTTCTATATTTGCCAACTTGTAAAAGGAAAAATAAGCCATGAAGTCCTGAGGGAAATATTTTTATTTGTACTATATTGGCCACAAAAACACTTCCAAAGAAATTCAACCATATCTCATCACAGTGTAAGCTGTCAAATTGACTTCAATACATCAAAATAAAATTTCATTTCTCAATAGGTGGAAAAAAGTGATTTGGTAGTAACGAGTATGCAATCTAGTTCTTTATTTTATTTCACAATCACTCATCGAAATTCACACTTCCTTATATGTTACTATTAAATTATTAAATCTAAATGTTCAGTGACACTGTCTCTGACTAATCCTACTATAAGGAAAAAGAAAAACAAAACAGATCCTACAAATGGGGCATAAAATATGAGTTTTATAAGACAAAGCATACTTGTTAAAGCATATTTTATGCCAACATGAAAGAAGAAACATCTTTAGTTTGACACAATTTATACTGATTTTCTTGTTCCTAGTTTTTTCTAGAGACTTTTTTATAGTATTACACACAACATTCTTTAGAGGTATACAAGTTATAAGTATTTGTTGAAGGTCCAGACTTAATTTTATTAAACAGTAATGATTACCACTGCCCAAGAGGGGTTTACAATGTCACCAGTTTAACTCAAAGCTCACAATAGTCCCATGAAATAAGAACTGTTACTCATATCATTTGGAGTCCTGGTGTGGTGCTGTGGGTTAATGCACTGGACTACAAGGTTGGTTTGAACCGCAATGTCGTCGGTTCTAGCTCACCGCCGCTCCTCGGAAACCCTAGGTAAAGTCGTTATGAGTCGAACCAACTCGATGGCACTTAACAGCAATTCATCTCATTTATAAATGAGCAGACTAAGGCAAAAAGCCACTGTGTTTGCTGCCCACAGTCACAGAGTGAGAAAGCAGTGGAGTCAGGCACAAACACAGGCAGGGTAACTCTAGAACCCACACTTACCCACCTACATAGCAGCTTTCTGAATGTATATGAACATAATTGTTGTTGTTGTTAAGTGCCAGCCTATTGGCTCCAACTCATAACAACCCTGTATAGGGTTTCCTAGGAGCACCTGGTGATCTTGAACCACTGAACCTTGTGGCATTAACCCGCAGCACCACACCAGGATTCCTGTGAATATGTATGTTATGGTTAATATCTATCAGCAGCCAGCAGATAACCAGCAAATTATTAAATTATTCTTATGTTGATGTTTTCTTAATTTAACTCTTAAGTAGGACTTTTTGGGTATGTCAGAGGGATGCTTTTAAAAGTTCAATTTAGACTTTCAGGACAAGCTGGCAGAGTAGGCAAATGCCTACTCTGCCACAAAGACCTGGTGTTATATATAGGGAGTGCTAAGCTCTGGTAGTGCAGTAGTTATGAATCGGGCTGCTAACCTCAAGGTTGGCAGTTCAAAACTACCAGCTGTTCCAAGGGAGAAAGAAGAGGCTTTCTGCTCCCGTAAAGATTTACAGCCTTGGAAACCCTAGTCAAGGTCTCTATGAGTCAGAACCGACTCTATGGCATGTAACAATAACAACAAACTATTCCTGGTGTGGTGCTGTAGGAGCATCACTGGATATGAAATCCCCAAGACATCTCTTAACCGAATTTTTCAAAACCAAAACCAAGGAAGAGCCTGATAGCAGCTCAGGAAAAATGAAAAGTTACCTACAAAGAACGAATAAGCCTAAATTCTGACTTCTCAGCGTAGTCCATTCGAGCAAGAAGACAATGGGATGAGATACATAAAACTCTGAAAGAGAGAGTTGCCAGCCAAGAATCATATGCCCAGCAAAACTGCCCATCAGATATGGTGGTGATATTAGTACATTTCCAGATAAGCATGTTGTATCCCTGAGGTATCCTAAATGCCTGAAACAATGTCTGATACCTAGAAGACACTTAATAAATATTTGTTAAATGAGTAAGATGAAATAGATGATCTGAAAGAGGAAACAAAAAGATATACTAGTTTTCTATTGCTGTATAACAAATTATTATAATCTTAGCATCTTCAAACAGCACCCACACATTATTTCAGTTTTGTGGGTCAGAAGTCTGGGCACATTGACACTGGGTTCTCTGCTCAGAGTCCTAGAAGGCTTCAGCTGACTTGTTGCTGTTGTTAGTACCGTTAAGTCAGTTCCAACCCATAGCCACCCTGCATAGGGTTTCCAAGGAACAACGGGTGAGCTTGAACCACTGACCTTGAGGTTCAAACCAATTTTGTAGTCCAGAGCATTAAAACACAGTGCCACGTGGAAAAAACCATTTTAAAGCTGCCACATATCAGAATTCAATTATTTGTGGTTATAGGACTGAGGTTCCTTACTGCCCTGCTGGCTGTTGGCCGAGGGTCATTCTCAGCATCTAGAACCTGCTTGCAGGTCCCAAATCATGTGACCAATCTCCACAGGCAACTCACAATGTGGCAGTTTTCCCCTTCAAAGCCAGCAAAATAATACCTCATGCTTCAAATCTCTTCCTTCATGAAGGGCCTCTAAAAGCTCCCCTAATTATCAGTTCTACCCAGGGCAAGCTTCCTTTTGATCAACTGACTTGGGACCTTACCTATATCTGTATGTATTATATATTACAGATATGTATAAAGTCCCATGTCAGTTGATCAAAAGGAAGATTGCCCTGGGTAGAACAT